TATTTGGGTTCAACATGTAAGAAGTAGAAAGTACAGGTATTTGGGTTCAACATGTAAGAGTAGAAAGTACAGGTATTTGATGTTCACATGTAAGAAGTAGAAAGTACAGGTATTTGTGTTCAACATAGTAAGAAGTAGAAAGTACAGTATTTGGGTTCAACATGTAAGAAGTAGAAAGTACAGGTATTTGGGTTCAACATGTAAGAAGTAGAAAAGTACAGGTATTTGTGTTCAACATGTAAGAAGTAGAAGTACAGGTATTTGAGTTCAACATGTAAGAAGTAGAAAGTACAGGTATTTGTGTTCAACATGTAATGAAGTAGAAAGTACAGGTATTTGTGTTCAACATGTGTAGGAAGTAGAAAGTACAGGTATTTGTGTTTCAACATGTAAGAAGTAGAAAGTACAGGTATTTGGGTTCAACATGTAAGAAGTAGAAAGTACAGGTATTTGGGTTCAACATGTAAGAAGTAGAAAGTACAGGTATTTGAGTTCAAGCATGTAAGGAAGTAGAAAGTACAGGTATTTGAGTTCAACATGTAAGAAGTAGAAAGTACAGGTATTGAGTTCAACATGTAAGAAGTAGAAAGTACAGGTATTTGGGTTCAACATGTAAGAAGTAGAAAGTACAGGTATTTGGGTTCAACATGTAAGAAGTAGAAAGTACAGGTATTTGTGTTCAACATGTAAGAAGTAGAAAGTACAGGTATTTGGGTTCAACATGTAAGAAGTAGAAAGTACAGAGTATTTGTGTTCAACCTGTAAGAAGTAGAAAGTACAGGTATTTGTGTTTCAACATGTAGAGAAGTAGAAAGTACAAGGTATTTGAGTTCAACATGTAGAAGTAGAAAGTACAGGTATTTGTGTTCAACATGTAAGAAGTAGAAAGTACAGGTATTTGTAGTTCAACATGTAGAAGTAGAAAGTACAGGTATTTGTGTTCACATGTAAGAAGTAGAAAGTACAGGTATTGTGTTCAACATATAAGAAGTAGAAAGTACAGGTATTTGGGTTCAACAATGTAAGAAGTAGAAAGTACAGGTATTTGAGGTTCAACATGTAAGAAGTAGAAAGTACAGGTATTTGTGTTCAACATGTAAGAAGTAGAAAGTACAGGTATTTGAGTTCAACATGTAAGAAGTAGAAAGTACAGTATTTGGGTTCAACATGTAAGAAGTAGAAAGTACAGGGTATTGTGTTCAACATGTATGAAGTAGAAAGTACAGGTATTTGTGGTTCAACATGTGAGAAGTAGAAGTACAGGTATTTGAGTTCAACATGTATGAAGTAGAAGTACAGGTATTTGTGTTCAACATGTAAGAAGTAGAAAGTACAGGTATTTGAGTTCAACATGTAAGAAGTAGAAAGTACAGGTATTTGAGTTCAACATGTAAGAAGTAGAAAGTACAGGTATTTGTGTTCAACATGTAAGAAGTAGAAAGTACAGGTATTTGTGTTCAACATGTATGAAGTAGAAAGTACAGGTATTTGAGTTCAACATGTGAGAAGTAGAAAGTACAGGTATTTGAGTTCAACATGTATGAAGTAGAAAGTACAGGTATTTGTGTTCAACATGTAAGAAGTAGAAAGTACAGGTATTTGAGTTCAACATGTAAGAAGTAGAAAGTACAGGTATTTGAGTTCAACATGTAAGAAGTAGAAAGTACAGGTATTTGTGTTCAACATGTATGAAGTAGAAAGTACAGGTATTTGAGTTCAACATGTGAGAAGTAGAAAGTACAGGTATTTGAGTTCAACATGTAAGAAGTAGAAAGTACAGGTATTTGTGTTCAACATGTAAGAAGTAGAAAGTACAGGTATTTGAGTTCAACATGTAAGAAGTAGAAAGTACAGGTATTTGTGTTCAACATGTAAGAAGTAGAAAGTACAGGTATTTGTGTTCAACATGTAAGAAGTAGAAAGTACAGGTATTTGAGTTCAACATGTAAGAAGTAGAAAGTTCAGGTATTTGAGTTCAACATGTGAGAAGTAGAAAGTACAGGTATTTGTGTTCAACATGTAAGAAGTAGAAAGTTCAGGTATTTGTGTTCAACATGTGAGAAGTAGAAAGTACAGGTATTTGTGTTCAACATGTAAGAAGTAGAAAGTACAGGTATTTGTGTTCAACATGTAAGAAGTAGAAACTACAGGTATTTGTGTTCAACATGTAGAAGTAGAAAGTACAGGTATTTGTGTTCAACATGTATGAAGTAGAAAAGTACAGGTATTTGTGTTCAACATGTAAGAAGTAGAAAAGTACAGGTATTTGACTTCTAACATGTAAGAAGTAGAAAGTACAGGTATTTGTGTTCAACATGTAAGAAGTAGAAAGTACAGGTATTTGGGTTCAACATGTAAGAAGTAGAAAGTACAGGTATTTGAGTTCAACATGTAAGAAGTAGAAAGTACAGGTATTTGGGTTCAACATGTAAGAAGTAGAAAGTACAGGTATTTGGGTTCAACATGTAAGAAGTAGAAAGTACAGGTATTTGAGTTCAACATGTAAGAAGTAGAAAGTACAGGTATTTGAGTTCAACATGTAAGAAGTAGAAAGTACAGGTATTTGGGTTCAAACTGTAAGAAGTAGAAAGTACAGGTATTTGAGTTCAACATGTAAGAAGTAGAAAGTACAGGTATTTGGGTTCAACATGTAAGAAGTAGAAAGTACAGGTATTTGGGTTCAACATGTAAGAAGTAGAAAGTACAAGTATTTGAGTTCAACATGTAAGAAGTAGAAAGTACAAGTATTTGTGTTCAACATGTAAGAAGTAGAAAGTACAGGTATTTGGGTTCAACATGTAAGAAGTAGAAAGTACAAGTATTTGTGTTCAACATGTAAGAAGTAGAAAGTACAGGTATTTGGGTTCAACATGTAAGAAGTAGAAAGTACAGGTATTTGAGTTCAACATGTAAGAAGTAGAAAGTACAGGTATTTGTGTTCAACATGTAAGAAGTAGAAAGTACAGGTATTTGTGTTCAACATATAAGAAGTAGAAAGTACAGGTATTTGTGTTCAACATGTAAGAAGTAGAAAGTACAGGTATTTGTGTTCAACATGTAAGAAGTAGAAAGTACAGGTATTTGAGTTCAACATGTAAGAAGTAGAAAGTACAGGTATTTGTGTTCAACATGTAAGAAGTAGAAAGTACAGGTATTTGTGTTCAACATGTAAGAAGTAGAAAGTTCAGGTATTTGAGTTCAACATGTAAGAAGTAGAAAGTACAGGTATTTGTGTTCAACATGTAAGAAGTAGAAAGTACAGGTCTTTGTGTTCAACATGTAAGAAGTAGAAAGTTCAGGTATTTGTGTTCAACATGTAAGAAGTAGAAAGTTCAGGTATTTGAGTTCAACATGTAAGAAGTAGAAAGTACAGGTATTTGTGTTCAACATGTAAGAAGTAGAAAGTTCAGGTATTTGTGTTCAACATGTAAGAAGTAGAAAGTTCAGGTATTTGAGTTCAACATGTAAGAAGTAGAAAGTACAGGTATTTGTGTTCAACATGTAAGAAGTAGAAAGTTCAGGTATTTGTGTTCAACATGTAAGAAGTAGAAAGTACAGGTATTTGTGTTCAACATGTAAGAAGTAGAAAGTACAGGTATTTGAGTTCAACATGTAAGAAGTAGAAAGTACAGGTATTTGTGTTCAACATGTAAGAAGTAGAAAGTACAGGTATTTGTGTTCAACATGTAAGAAGTAGAAAGTACAGGTATTTGTGTTCAACATGTAAGAAGTAGAAAGTACAGGTATTTGTGTTCAACATGTAAGAAGTAGAAAGTACAAGTATTTGTGTTCAACATGTAAGAAGTAGAAAGTACAGGTATTTGGGTTCAACATGTAAGAAGTAGAAAGTACAAGTATTTGTGTTCAACATGTAAGAAGTAGAAGTACAGGTATTTGGGTTCAACATGTAAGAAGTAGAAAGTACAGGTATTTGAGTTCAACATGTAAGAAGTAGAAAGTACAGGTATTTGTGTTCAACATGTAAGAAGTAGAAAGTACAGGTATTTGTGTTCAACATATAAGAAGTAGAAAGTACAGGTATTTGTGTTCAACATGTAAGAAGTAGAAAGTACAGGTATTTGTGTTCAACATGTAAGAAGTAGAAAGTACAGGTATTTGAGTTCAACATGTAAGAAGTAGAAAGTACAGGTATTTGTGTTCAACATGTAAGAAGTAGAAAGTACAGGTATTTGTGTTCAACATGTAAGAAGTAGAAAGTTCAGGTATTTGAGTTCAACATGTAAGAAGTAGAAAGTACAGGTATTTGTGTTCAACATGTAAGAAGTAGAAAGTACAGGTCTTTGTGTTCAACATGTAAGAAGTAGAAAGTTCAGGTATTTGTGTTCAACATGTAAGAAGTAGAAAGTTCAGGTATTTGAGTTCAACATGTAAGAAGTAGAAAGTACAGGTATTTGTGTTCAACATGTAAGAAGTAGAAAGTTCAGGTATTTGTGTTCAACATGTAAGAAGTAGAAAGTACAGGTATTTGTGTTCAACATGTAAGAAGTAGAAAGTACAGGTATTTGAGTTCAACATGTAAGAAGTAGAAAGTACAGGTATTTGTGTTCAACATGTAAGAAGTAGAAAGTACAGGTATTTGTGTTCAACATGTAAGAAGTAGAAAGTACAGGTATTTGTGTTCAACATGTAAGAAGTAGAAAGTACAGGTATTTGGGTTCAACATGTAAGAAGTAGAAAGTACAGGTATTTGGGTTCAACATGTAAGAAGTCAAAGTAAAAAGTCGTCAGAAAAATAAGTCGTGGAGTAAAGTACTGATACCAGAAACATGTACTTAAGTACAGTAACAAAGTATTTGTACTCCAATACTTCCCACCTCTCTGTTGTGCAGATACTCCGAAGACGTTCTCTTGATACATCTATGTTGTGGTCGTGGTTAAATCTAAACTGTGTTTTTAAAAAAAAGTATAGATGCCTCCTGGCCAGAAAGATTGAAGACTTCAGATAATCAGTGTCCTCTCCCCTCCTCCGTGTCGTGCAGATGCTCCTAAGATCCTGGGCTCGGTGACGGTGTACACGTGGGAGCGGAACTCGGCCAACATCAGCTGTGAGGTGGAGGCTCACCCTGCAGCCGCCGTGCTGTGGTTCAGAGACGGCCTGCAGCTGCCCTCCACCAACACCACCAACATGAAGATCTACAACACGCCCTCTGTCAGCTACCTGGAGGTCTGCTGCACTCCACTACAGCTCATTATAACACAGAGAGAAAGATTATATAAGTCGCTTTTCAGAATCAGAAATATTACCAGTTGACACATACGAGGAATTTGACTTGTGGTGGTGCATACATAAAAGTAAGACAAAAATAAAAAAACACAGATGGAGAACTATTTTAAGAAAACTATAATAACATTAAAACATATTTTTTTAAATATAGAATGTAAAATTGAAATGTGTTTTCTAGAATGAATACTATATACTGTAATAATATAAAATATGTGAAGACAATCTGTTTAAGGCTATCTAGATAGATAGATGGATAGATAGATAGATAGATAGATGGATAGATAGATAGATAGATAGATAGATAGATGGATGGATAGATGGATAGATAGATAGATAGATGGATGGATAGATGGATAGATAGATATATAGATAGATGGATGGATGGATGGATAGTAGATAGATAGATAGATAGATGGATGGATAGATAGATAGATAGATAGATGGATGGATAGATAGATAGATAGATAGATAGATGGATGGATAGATAGATAGATAGATAGATAGATAGATGGATGGATAGATAGATAGATAGATAGATAGATAGATAGATAGATAGATGGATGGATAGATAGATAGATAGATAGATAGATAGATGGATGGATAGATAGATAGATAGATAGATAGATGGATGGATAGATGGATAGATAGATATATAGATAGATGGATGGATAGATATATAGATAGATAGGTATAGATAGATAGATAGATAGATGGATGGATAGATAGATAGATAGATAGATGGATGGATAGATGGATAGATAGATATATAGATAGATGGATGGATAGATATATAGATAGATAGATAGATAGATATATGGATGGATGGATATATGGATAGATAGATAGATAGATATATAGATAGATAGATATATAGATAGATATATGGATGGATGGATAGATGGATAGATGGATGGATGGATGGATAGATATATAGATAGATATATAGATAGATATATGGATGGATAGATGGATAGATAGATAGATAGATAGATAGATAGATAGATAGATAGATAGATAGATTGTGCAAGAAATGGATTATTCAATATTAAATTGAATATAAATGTAAAATGTACAGTGGGAGTTTAGGAGAAGCTGTGGAGCAGGGAGTTCTCTTCCGGCCAGAGGTAGGGTTACAATTATGTCAAACTAAAAAAATCAACGATGTGAAGAACAAAAGAAGACCTGAGGCGACAGACAGAGACTAAATCAACCCTGAATATACTTAAATATACTTATATTAAAAACAATATCTACTTAGGTTCTATAAAGTTATCCATGGGGCTACTCAGTGAATGAAGTCTAACCTTATTAAATGGTGGAGATTTGATGGTAACAATTCATGTTCAGAGACAATGTAAATATGTTTTTATGGACGGTTGATTCATAGAGTTTCTCAAAGGGTTGACCTTCAATCTTCTACCAGATATTGAAGTGGAGCAGCTCTCACTTTAAAGTGGTGGACAAACACTCGTACCATGTAGTGTTACAATACTCTAAAACAATAAAAATGACAGGTGTGAAGAACAAACCCTGAATATACTTAAATGTAATAATAATACATTTTATTTAAGGCGCCTTTCATGACACCAAGGACACCGAATATACTTGAATTATAACAATATCTAGTTTTAAAAGTTACACATTCAAGTTATCCATGGGTCTACTCAGTGTAGTATTTTCTTTTTGTTCACCTGTGTGACCTCTCTGTCTCTTTTCCATCTCCTCTCAGATCACTCCTGATTCCCAGAATGACTTCGGCAGCTACAACTGCACCGCCTCCAACGTGATGGGCTCTGAGTCCAAGGAGTTCCTTCTGATCCAAGCAGGTTCGTGCACCGAGTCATTGAGCATTGTACCTTCCTGAAGAACTGCAACTCATCCTCCATATTGATATGTCAGTGAGATACTTCACAGCACGAGGCAAGAAGCTTCACTAAACAGATTGATTCCAATTCCAAGGATAATTAAACAGCCTCTTCACTACATACTGTTCTAATAGTACAACATCCATAAAATATCCAGTAAGTGTACCATTATCAGTAGGGTTTCTGATGGCATGATAATATCGAGTAGTGGGAAGCTTGCAAAAATGGTTTGATAATTTCTTGATTCCTTCACCGTTTAGCACTTAAAAAAACCTAGTGATGCTTTGTAGCACCGGGCAATAGTTTTACTTTTAGGCATTTCAAAAGGCCATGCCTAAAAGAGTCCTAAAACCCAGAGATCAGTCAGTATTTAGCAGAGGTGGGACCACGTCATTGTTTTGCAAGTCCGAGTCAAGTCTCAAGTCTTTGCGCTCAAGTCCGAGTCAAGCCTCAAGTCTTTGCGCTCAAGTCCGAGTCAAGCCTCAAGTCTTTGCGCTCAAGTCCGAGTCAAGTCTCAAGTCTTTGCGCTCAAGTCCGAGTCAAGTCTCAAGTCTTTGCGCTCAAGTCCAAGTCAAGTCTCAAGTCTTTGCGCTCAAGTCCGAGTCAAGTCTCAAGTCTTTGCGCTCAAGTCCGAGTCAAGCCTCAAGTCTTTGCGCTCAAGTCCGAGTCAAGTCTCAAGTCTTTGCGCTCAAGTCCAAGTCAAGTCTCAAGTCTTTGCGCTCAAGTCCAAGTCGAGTCGCAAGTGATTTGTGATTTTGTCAAGTCGAGTCTCAAGTCATCAAATTGGTGACTCGAGTCTGACTCGAGTCCAAGTCATGTGACTCGAGTCCACACCTCTGGTATTTAGCACTTCAAAGTCAATGGTTTTTGGTTGTTAGCCTTAAATGAGGTCTGTGGTTAACAGAAGATGAAGAGATTTTGTTCAAAGACATAAAATACGTCGGTAAATACCCCACTCGTGAATTTAAAAACTGTTGCTAACAAGTGTCTAAATGACACGACCAAATGTCATCAGGAGGACATTAGCCGCCTTTAGCTTAGCGGAAATTATTTTATAAAAAACAGCAAGAAATAAAGGTGTCATGGCTGTTATACTATAAAATCCTAACTGTTAGAAAAATATCACTCAACACCGGCTTGGTCTTCAATATCAGCATGCATGGAAGTAGTCATCACACACAGGACAAATAGTTCCCAGAGTAGAGTCCTTGATATGCTAATATACAAGAGAGTGTGTTACAGTGACAAGATGGAGGAATACTGGTTCAAAGCAGTATTCTGACATTAGTTAAGATTGGCTAAGGCCTGCGTAAGCAATAAACATGACAGTCATATCTCTCTAGGGGCTGTGTCATCATGCCAACCTTAGGAACATAGCTATCATAACTCCATCACAGTGTCTCATGAGCGTCATACATCCGGCTTCGTACACAGCTACGTAGGGCCTCTGTTATCATATGCTACTCTGATACAGAAGGAAGGTTCAGTATTTTCCCAACACTAACCCTAATAAAACAGTTATTATCCACAACAGACTCTGTAGACCTACATTTAACAGACAGTATTGAAACCCACATGACACACTGTTTACAGTCAGTATGATGAGATATCAAGTCAGCTCTGTAGAGAATCAGAATCAGAATACCTTTTTCCGTGCCACAAAAGTATGTTAAATAAAGTAAATACTACTCAGTCAGTGGTGAGTAGTGTTGAGTCTAAATGGCATTGTGTGCTCCTTCTCTGTGTCACCGCTCCTATCTTCATGAATCACGGAGTAACTCGGCTGCTCGTTCAGGCATGTCCAACAGAGCCTCAGTAATGTGGTGACCAGAGGCTTCAGGGCACCAGAGCAAAGCCAGAGCCACGACAGAAGCTGATTTAAAGCTCAGCGTTATCTGCAGGTTCTGCAGTGGACGATATCTCTCTGATCCAAACATATAAGTGAAGGATAATGTGAATCGAGGCGGTCATTATCAAGCTTATTACACGGCTACTGAATTAACCAAAGACTTGACTCACAATGGTCATTTTTGTACCAACGGCTATAACTGTGGCGACAGCTGCGTAATTTAAAATGACACCAGCACTGATCGAGTTTTTCTTTAACTGTCCAAGCCTGTTCTCATTTTATTTTCCATTAACTATTCTTTAAACACTTCAGAGCCCTTGCTGTGTTCCCTTTAATGTGTACTTCCTGTCTGTCTTCTTCTGATGTTCCCTTTAATGTGTACTTCCTGTCTGTCTTCTTCTGCTGTTCCCTTTAATGTGTACTTCCTGTCTGTCTTCTTCTGATGTTCCCTTTAATGTGTACTTCCTATCTGTCTTCTTCTGCTGTTCCCTTTAGTGTTTACTTCCTGTCTGTCTTCTTCTGCTGTTCCCTTTAATGTGTACTTCCTGTCTGTCTTCTTCTGATGTTCCCTTTAATGTTTACTTCCTGTCTGTCTTCTTCTGATGTTCCCTTTAATGTGTACTTCCTGTCTGTCTTCTTCTGATGTTCCCTTTAGTGTTTACTTCCTGTCTATCTTCTTCTGCTGTTCCCTTTAATGTGTACTTCCTGTCTGTCTTCTTCTGATGTTCCCTTTAGTGTTTACTTCCTGTATGTCTTCTTCTGCTGTTCCCTTTAATGTGTACTTCCTGTCTGTCTTCTTCTGCTGTTCCTGTTAGTATTTACTTCCTGTCTGTCTTCTTCTGCTGTTCCCATTAGTGTTTACTTCCTGTCTGTCTTCTTCTGTTGATTTCTCTGACGTCCAGTTCTCTTTCTTTTAAACTCTGTCCTTCTGTAGTTCTATTTTCTTTTCTTTTTTCTTTACTGGGGACAGTTTAGCCGTCATGAATCCAAAGTCATGTCGTGCTCTCCACAAATATAAAAATTGAAATATTCTAAAAGTATTCAACAGTATTTTGTGATGACAAGAACTAATGTTTGTTAGCCACAGCTGACGTTAAATTGACCGGACTACTTTCTGCGGACTGATATGACCGCACATGGTCCCACTGAGCAGAGTGTCATCCCTAGCATCCTTTTTGTATGCATGCTTCCTAGGTAACATTAAGCTGTCTTTGGCTCTTTTCTGCTGTAACAATGTACATCCCTCTGCGGGACGAAGAAAGATATTCTGATTCTGACCAATCCCTTTGTTTCCCTCTCTGCTTCAGAGGTGCCATCCTCTCCAGAGATCCAGCAGGTGGACCCTTTCTCCAGCACCGCGGTGGTGAGCTTTGAGGAGCCCGACTCCATGGGGGGGGTCCCCATCATCAGATACAAGGTGGAGTGGCGTATGATTGGCCAGGACTGGAAGAGCATGGAGCACGACGCTAAAGACGGTGAGTGGATCATTTCTCCGGATGGACTCTCCGAATCCATGTATTTGTGATCCTCTCCAGAATGGAAGTAGTCCTTGTTTTTTTCCTCAAAATCCTCATTTCTTTCTCAAAATCCTTATTCTTTTCTCAAAACCTCAAAATCCTCTTTTTTTTCTCCAAATCTTAAAATTCTGACTTTTTCTAACAATTCAGATTTTTTTCTCAAAAATCTGACTTTTTCTCAAAATCTCCACATTCTGACTTTTTCTCACAAATCTGACTTTTTCTCAAAAATCTGACTTTTTCTCAAAAATCTGACTTTTTCTCAAAAATCTAAAAATTCTGACTTTTTCTCAAAATCCCCCAAAAATCTGACTTTTTCTAAAAATTCGTACTTTTTCTCAAAATCCGGAGTTTTTATGAATACTTCAAAATGTTAATAATCCCTCCCCCGGCTTGAGCTTCAACCTCAGGATCCATGTATCTGTGATCCTCTCCAGAATGGAAGTCATCACATACAGAGCATCAACTAGTTCCTGAGCAGTGTCCTTCACATGCTGATATCCAAGAGAGGGAGTTACACAGTCACAAGATGGAGGAATAGAAAGCAGTATTCAATGTTTACTTCAGATTAGCTCCACGTCAGAAATGAGCATGCTTGATGTCTCTCTCCATAGAGGCTGAATCATCATGTTAATCACATAGCTATCATCTGCCTCAAACAGTCCTGATGCTCTTCTAGGTAATCACACATCCTGTCATGTTCACAGCTACAGCTGGGATACCTTTGTTATCACGTCACTCTCATACTGGAAGAGGACCTTCAGTGTTTTCCCAACAGATTCTGCTTTGTTAAAAAACTTTGCTCACTCACTCAATATATTTACAAAAGTGTTTTGAGGAAATCTCATTTTGGACTTTTATAAGCATCATATTTGAATGGCACCTCATGAAAAGCACCTGCTATATTTCTCCTGAATGAAGTCCCTGAGTCACCAGCACTTACAAGCAGCTCCTCTAAAAGCCTTAGCAAAACATTTTAATCAAGCAAAGTGGATGCAAGCCATGTAATTACATTCTCTCTTCAGGGGCAGCGTTTTATTTTCGGTCTCTTAAGATGCATCACCTGCTTCAGCCCCACCTGAATATCCTCTAAAGCTACTTTAATCTTGCCTTAAAAGCATATTAAAAAACACATCCCAACAGAAGAAGGTTATTCCGTTGATAAATATATTCCTTGGGTCAAAAATATTCAGATTTTGCCTCTTATTCAAGATCCCTTCCCGAAACAACTGTCGATGTAACGGTGCAAAGGGAAACTGAGAACATACTATTCGTGCTGCAGCTTTCACACAAATATAATAGTTATATAATATATATTTATATTTAATACAAAGAAAACAGAATTGGGCTCAGGTGTGACAGAAGCAACACTAACTCACACTGTTTCATTACCAGGAGCTCAATAAGAACTGTTGAGCCAAACCATGAATCCCAAATGGAAAAAGGAAACAAATATCACTGACAATATTTTAAGACGGCACAGCTTTTCCAATTTCAATTCAGATACACCAGGGTTTCCCACACATAGACTATACTTGGGCGGGCCGCCCAGGTATATTAACGGCCGCCCAAGTATATTTCGCGACCCTTTTTTTTTTTTTTTTTTTTTTTTAATACGTTTTTTTTGTATTTTTTTTTTTATTCGTCCGTGACCACGACGCCATCTGCGATCGATTAACTTGTGGACAATGATCCCTCGCTCCCTTGCTCTGATCTCGCCTCGTTAAGTGGCCTGCCTCACACAGGGTGACTGGCTGTCTACATGATGTGGCCTGCCGACATGGCCACTGTCATACAGATCATAAATCAAAGCCCTTGATTGGTCTCTGTGTGTCATTCAAGCTCGGGATAACCTCAGCTCAGGTGAGGTAAAGGACTCTCTGAGTGTTTAGATAGTTCACTTAGTCTAAGTTCTCAGTGGGTCTCAAACGGTGTGGTCACCATTTATGTAAACACATATTTCCATTTGAGAGGGTAGTGATTGGTCTAATGGATAGTGAGGTGGGCTGAAGATCGGAAGGCTGTGAGTTCAAATCCCGCCAGGAACACCACCACTAGTGTGCCCTTGAGTGCCATCTTTACGCAAAATGATTATACAAAATGAAATTATTTTTTTGCGCACCCCCCCCCCCCCCCCCCGCCCGCTGCCACCACCCGCCCAAGTATATTTCAGATCTGTGGGAAACACTGTATACTGATTCAATAATAATACATCATTTTATTCATATAGGCACCTTTCAAGGCTCTCAAGGTCGCCGTACAAGATCCACAAATAATATATATATATTATATTTTTCAGTTATTTGTTGTACTAACATTTTAATTTAATTTATTTTGTATTTACTTTTGTTGTTTTTTTCCATTTCTATTTATTGTAGACATTTATTTTTGTATTTTGCATTTTTAGATGGTTCTATTTTTGCTAAGTTTTTAACAACTTTATATTGAATTAAAGTATGCACCATTATACACCAAAGTAATGTATTGGTTGTGTACACCTACTTGTCAAAAAACCTGTTTCTTATTCTGACAAAATCCATAAAAGTACGTGGCTTTTTTAGGACAACCTGGTACTTTAATCCCAGGAGAATTCATAAACAGATATTTTAGGGTATTTTTTTTACTATACATAAAAGTAACATGAATGTGCATCAAGTATTTCCAACAGCAGTTAATCCAAACATGACAGCGAACACAGCGTAACTGACAGCTCCCTGACAGCTCCAGATATTATCCACGTCCCACTGAGGCCTCGTGGCTGCAGATACACATGTTCCTCGTCCTGTCTGCGGCTGACAGGCAACTCTGAATAGATGCCTATCCCACACACAGACACACACACACACACACACACACACACACACACACACACACACACACACACACACAGTAAGACCCACACACACAATAACAGACAAACACACATAGAGGCTCACAAAGTAAGACCCACACACACCCACACACCCACCCCCACACACACACACACACACACACACACACACACACACACACACACACACACACACACACACACACACACACACACACACACAAAAACTGTGAATGTTACCAAATACTGTATAACTTAATAACCTACATCAGATACCTCTGTAGGTTATATAACCACTCGTAAACATTTTAAGTGCTTTAGCTGAAAAGAAAAAAATATAACTTAAATGTTATGCTATGTCTAAATGCACATGAGTATAGAGTAGTATATTTGTAGCGTAAATGTGTAAAATCAGGACAACATCATATTTATCAGCATCAATCAGAAACAGTACACTTTATTAATTAAGGGAAAAATATATCTTGTGTTGCTTAATTTAAGTATGAAATAAAATAATGCAAAATATTTAAATTAATGCTGTCAAAATTATCGCGTTAACGGCGGTAATTCATTTTTTGAATTAATTGCATTAAAATATTTAACGCATTTAACGCATGTGCAGAATGGCCCGCCACATACATCCCAGAAATGGCTTAGCCCCACCATGAACAATGATGTTAAAGGAAGCAAAATAAAGTCCGCCAACTCGCGCGGAGTAAATTGCACAGACAGCAGTTAGTAAGATTGATTTCAGAAGCCACTTGTCTGGAAATACCGAAAACCAGAAACGGTTTTGAAAACTTTTGTCACGTAGTGATCGTCTTCTCAATAGAACATCTTTGATAATGTCTTCTGGCCAATCAGAATCAAGATAACGGCGTGGTGTTGTTGCAGGAAGTCCCGACGGAGAATACTTTTGCTGTAGTACAGGGGTGCACATAACTGGTACGCAGGTTACGTGCGTAATCTGAAATGCGTACCGTCACTTGTGTCACAAAGCGCATTTGCGTACGACAGAGTCGGTCTCCGTGTGCACAGACAGGGCTGCTGTTAACGTCGGTCTGTACAACGGAATTGTGCCAAAAGTACGCCAACCGGCTACGGAGGGAGACTCCCCCCCTTCACTGGAGAACTGCGCTAAAACAGCTGATCACAACGTTCACACTCTGTGGTCACGAAGTACTCCACTAGCCCCCCCCCCTCTGTCGACTTTCCTGAAGTACTCCCCCGTTGATAGAAATCAACACGTAATGAATTAAGACCCCACGGTTTGATGATTGATAGGTGTGTGGGTTGTCTTTCATTTTGACACGCAGAAATGTTTTATAATAAACATAGATACTGTATGTTAAATGGATATATCCGCCTTCTTTCATTTATCTTTCCATTCCCACAACAATATACATAAAGAAATGGCATATTTTGGACATAGTTCGAATGGTGATTAATCTGATTAATTTATTTTTAAGCTGTGATTAATCTGATTAAAAATGTTAATCGTTTGACAGCCCTAATTTAAATAAACATGAAAGGTTAGGAAAGTAAATAATGTGCAATTTAAAGATGAAAATTAAATAAATTGAATAAAATATTAGAAGTTAAAGTAATAATGAACAAAACAAATAGAAAAAAACATATTTATATAAAAACATAAGAAGTTAAAGAACATTTTAAAAAAACAAAAAATTAATAAAATAATAAATATAAAATACAAATGTTTATATATAAACAAAAAGTAAAAAAACATGAATTACGAAATAGATTTAAATAATTCCATTTTATTTTGCTGACACAGAATGATGCAGTGGCTGAAATGTGTCCATAGATGACATTTAGTTTGAAGTGTTCCTCACAGTAAAGTGAACCTGCTGCCATCACATGTCTGAAACCAGTATTACCTGCTATAGACACACCCATCACATATATAGGTTTAACTCTGCAGTGTGCACAGACAACAAGTCAAAGTTAAGGTGAACCTGCTGGATTCATACTGTACACATATTGTAGGGAGTAAATATCTCTGTTTGCCTTTTATTGTATGGTCTTATTCAAGATCAATGCACTTATGATGCAAATAGACTGTTCATATGTACATTAAGAGGCAGACAGCTGAAAGTCTTTTAGAAATAGACCATATCACTGTCAGGGTTTATAACTTTTACTGTGTGCTGCAGATATAAGCCGTAATAATTTAGCGTATGTGTTTCCTCTCACGCATCAATAAACAGTTTGATGCCGCAGTAAGCAACGCGATAATGAACACACACCAAAGTCAGTCGTGTTCATAACAGTTGTAATGATTCGTGGAGGTAACCTTTGCGAGGAGGCGAGGGAAGCAGCATGTGGTAATCATCGGTAAATTACTGCAGGAAATGTGAGCGCTTTCTGCACTGTCACCGTCTAAAAGCACAGTCATCAATTCATCTGGCCTCGTGTTTTCATCCCACGCAGTCAGAACAATCAGCTCCTGGGTCTTTCGCTAAATGATTTGACCCTAACCTCAGTGAGAAAACATCATGGGGTTAAGGAAAGGAAAGACAATTCATCAGGACTTAGGAAAAAACACTCTTTAAAATGAACAATTTTCCATACATCAACTACATCTAGATACTTCAGCCTGTGTGTTGTTGTTTTATTAGGGTTTAATACAAGTGGACAAAAATGACCAAAATATTCTTCATTACCAAGGTTGCAATTAAAATAAAAAAGTAAAATGGTTGCTTACCCTCCTGTCCACACTTATTAAGTCCAAATAGGAATATATATATATATTGTCAAATATCTAAAGCCATATATTATTTCATATATTGTATGAAAATATTTTGAATACATACAACTTTATCCAATATATGCATAAGTTGTTAGGCCTACTGCGCATGTCACCTTTCAAACATGTGAAAAAAGTCAGTAAACACTGTGAAGCTTAATTTGATCATTTGACAGCAATCAGCACAAAGTTTAAAACATATAAGCACTTTACTAAATATGTTAAATGCTGAATCAGCACCTGCAACCTGATGGACGATCAGCGTTAGTCGGTCACAATCGGTTTTATCTGTGAACAGCCGAATGTTGTGTCCCGTTAAATGTTACATTTGCAAGGCATTGTGGGGCAGTGTCATCCCCTTTCCTCTCGTAAATGATGGTCCAGTTTATCCTAAGGAGATAATAAAGGAAGCATTGAAGCTCTGTAATGGCAATTTCCTGTTCCTATGTCCTATATATTTTTGCCATTACTTCACAGAAGGGCTGAAGAGTGATCCAGACGCAGACACAAACAGATGACTTTCCGGTCCTTTGTTGCAGTTTATAATGAGGTTTATTCAGCGTTTACATACCAGCTACGCTTTGCTCCCACAATGCAGTTCGGTGAAATGTATTGTGGGAGCGAAGTGTAGCTTCAAAAGCGTTGCTCGCTGCAAAAGTTGAGCAATGTTCTACTTTTGACGCTTCGACGGAGGCGTCAGCCAATCGAATCCCGCTTATGCAAATCTGCCAGTACAAGCGCTAGCCAATCAAACCGCGTGCATGCTGGGAGAGCAGTTCATTTCCTCATATGCCAAAAAGCAGAAGCGTCAGCCAATCAAATCATATGCCAGTACAAGCTCTAGCCAATCAAACCGCGTGCTTGTGTGTCCGGGGCGGGAGATTCATGTGATTGGTTGTTGGTCGAGTTTCAGACACGCCCACCGGCAAGCTTCAACGCACGCCGCCGTGTGGACGCTGCGGAGGATAAGATTAGATAAGATAGGACTTTATTTATCCCGAAGGAAATTGTTGTGCCAGAGTTACAAAGATACAATAAACACAGCACAATAATACAACCGTACACTTACAGTGCAGAAAAAAGAGCAATTAAATAACTACAACTAACATAGACGGTCAAATAATGAATGTAAAAATCTGTGCAGCATTGAGTAGTGCATAAAAACGTAGTGGCAGATACGTAATTGCGCGTTATTATAGAACATTATTAATAATATTGCACATGTTATATAGCAGAGAGTGTTTTGCTATGATGGTAATGGTATTGTATTGTGTTTCTAACACCACCTCTTCCCCGCAGACCTGATCAGCGTCACCATCGCTGGGCTGAAGCCGGAGACCACCTACGAGGTCAAGATGTCCGCCATCAACGGAAAAGGAGAAGGCGAGAGCAGCGCGGCGAGCAGCTTCACCACCGAGCCCGTCCGTAAGTACTTTTCCCCCCAAAAAAACCTGTAAGCACTCCTCTGACCCCAATGCTTTGAAGCCAACGCTGTTCACTCCACCTCCATGCTTTCAGCTCCTCTATTCTCACGCCAAGACCCCTCATCCCTTTTCACAGAATCCAGGACGAACGCTATTCACTTCATAATCCAGCGTGGTTCACAGAGTGGTGCAGGGATGACAGGTTTTTGTAATGGACCCTGAAGGCAGCATCTCCCTGGTTCCCTCCACAAAAAGTCAATGGGGATTTTTGATTATTGCAGAAAATAAGATCTGTGGCAAACACGCGTTTATGATACTTTCACATTTTGTTCAGCAGGATAATCTCCACATATTAACACACCTTTAACAATAGTTGAAGGAACAAATGTAATCTCTAGAAATAAAACGCAAACGTTAGTCTATAAAGGAACTAGAGCACGGTCACATGACTTCACGTCACCACCGCTAAGCTAAAGGTGGCTAATGTTAGGCTATAAAGGAACTACAGCACGGTCACATGACTTCACGTCACCACCGCTAAGCTAAAGGTGGCTAATGTTGGGCTATAAAGGAACTACAGCACGGTCACATGACTTCACGTCTCCACCGCTAAGCTAAAGGCGGCTAATGTTGGGCTATAAAGGAACTACAGCACGGTCACATGACTTCACGTCTCCACCGCTAAGCTAAAGGCGGCTAATGTTAGGCTATATAGGAACTACAGCACGGTCACATGACTTCACGTCTCCACCGCTAAGCTAAAGGAGGCTAATGTTGGGCTATAAAGGAACTACAGCACGGTCACATGACTTCACGTCACCACCGCTAAGCTAAAGGTGGCTAATGTTAGGCTATATAGGAACTACAGCACGGTCACATGACTTCACGTCACCACCGCTAAGCTAAAGGTGGCTAATGTTAGGCTATATAGGAACTACAGCACGGTCACATGACTTCACGTCACCACCGCTAAGCTAAAGGTGGCTAATGTTGGGCGTGATGACATTTAGTCGTCTCATTTCGACACTTGTTAGCAACCTCTGTTTTAAATTCACGAGTGGGGGATTTACCGATGTATTTTATGTCGTAAAAAACGAAATCTCTTCAGCTTGAGTTAACCACAGACCTTATTTCAGGGTCCTAACCAAAAACACATTAAAAAACCACTCATTCCTGCACCACTCGATAGTGTTATCACAGATGCAACGTGTAACCCATGTGTCCTTCAGTGTTCAACAGCATTATGTGTATCTTTCCTCATGAATGTTTTCAGTTGAGAATGCAGACCGAGCATTCTTCCTATGCTTTCAGGTGATTTAGTAAAAGTGTTTTTCATCTCTAAGGCTAATAACATGAACTCAGTGTGAAGAAGTGTCCGTATGTATAGTACATCGACCCTTTGTTCACACAGCAGTGCTCAGTCCTGCTGAAGGTCGGTACATGTATTGAATGGCAGCGCATGATGAAGTTCAGAGCTGATGGTCATCTTCTATCTTCATGTGTTGGAAAAAAAGAGAAACACTCGAAGCAGCGACAGAAGTACCTTTTACTTTAGCAAAAACAAACCTAAATACATTAGTATTGGCATCAAATGTATCTAAAGTACCAAAAGTATAAGTACATATTGCCCTTGTCGTCTCATTTTAGAATCATAGATATTAAATGACTGGATTATGATTATTGATGCATTAATGTGTTCATCACAGCTGGTACCCTGCTGATGGATGTCTTAACCTATAATTATATACAGTAGGGGACATTAACTAAGTATATTTACTAAAGTAGTTGTACTTAAATCGACCAGACTTCTTTCTGCGGATTGATATGACTGCACATAGTCCCCTTGATCCTCCTTAGCAACGGTCTGTTCTCCTTAGCAACAGCTTGTTAGTGAGATGTACCACTGAAATGTCCAAGCTGACCAATCAGAATCCAGTATTCAACTAAAGATGTCAGATACATTTAGCGGAGTGAAAAGTACAATAATGACTGACAAAATATTAAAATAGTTTAAGTAACATTAAATAAGAATAAAGTACCTCAGAATTGTACTTAAATACTTGAATTTACTTCATTATAGTTTCATTATTTACTTTATTATAGCATTTATTTGACTTCTTAATGGTTATTTCATTTTTCTTTTTGTACTGCAAGAAGGGGCAGGTACAATAAGATGTTCTTCTCCCTGCTCCTTTCCACCATGCGCTTTAAAAAACAAAAAAAAACAGTATAAGTGAACATGTTTTGTTTTAAAATAACTGCCATGTGTGGAATAAACAAATAAATACAAATATTTTACAGGGAGATATAAGAAATTAAACAATCATCGTCAGGTTAGGGATCCTCCTTGTGCCAAAATATAGTGGATTAGAAGTTTAAAGTAGCATTAAATAAGAATAAACTACCTCATAAATGTACTTAATAGTGCATATACTTCAATACAGTCGCTCACTGCAGGGAGATATACTAATAAATAAACATTCAACAGTCGGGTGAGCGATCCTCGTTGTTTTCCTGGTGACTAATCCTCCGTCTGTTGGGCATATGGCTCCATCAGCTGAGAGCAGGTGTGCTGCACCTGTCATCCATCACAGAGTGTCAGCCAGACATAAAACGTGTCCATTTTCTGTTTATTTATGAGCAACAACATGTCAGATAATGCTTCCTCGTTAAAGCATGAAATACAGGTCCAAAAAATCAATCTGACAGCTGGAGAGATTCACGCATTCAAAACTCTTAAGATCTTTATTTTCCAGAAAGTGTTTATTAGTTTTATACAAAATGATCCAAAAGGGAAACTTTTTTTTTGAGTAATTATTGATTCCAAAATCGGGAAATGTTTTGTTACCTTAGCATGTAAACAAGGTATTGCAAATGAGTTAAAAATATAATAAAAGAAACAGTCAAACCAAACAAAAGAACAGTAGAAAGATATTTATTTATCACTAAAATAAAATATACAGAAGAAGGGATAAAATGCTAGATATAGACCGACCTACGAGTGAGTTAATTCAGGCTACATTTAGAAATCAGCAGACTCTAACTCAGCGGATAAATCTTTGTTTTAGTTTGTGCCGGCCTCTGTCACGCCTCCATCTGTGCTCCTGCAGAAAACCCCTCCTCAGCATCCTCATTATGTCCCAAAGAGAGAGGTCGTGTCCTATTTCAAGATGTTCCAACAACAAACACTGTGCGAGGTGTTTATTTAGCTTACACTAGTCCATTTGTAATGTAGAAACTCAGCTCAAACCTTACATTGTGTATCATTAACAATACAGAAGATGAATTACTTACTTATTATGACTGTGTTGAATTTACTTAATTTTGTTTAGGTAAAATATTGCCCAAAACATTTGCATGTACTATTATTATGTATTTAAAGTAATTATGTTTAATTCAATAAATAATGTAAGCTCAACTAATTTGAGTACTGTACTTTTAAAACTAATTCTAGTTGTATACTTAGTTCTAACTAACCCATATCAATTCAGATTAACTATTTGAGTTCACTGTAATTGTAATTAATACAAAAACAAACCCATGTTCAGTCTACTTAAAGGTGGGGTAGGTAAGTTTGAGAAACCGGCTCTAGATACACTTGTTGTTATATTCCATGGAATGCTCTTAACATCCCGATAGCAATGAATATATGAAATGCTTTGACAATAAATCCGTAAATATATCTCATCTGTTGAAGCCGTGGCGCTGTGAAAAGCACGACCAATCATCTGAGCCGGCTAAAGTAACTGGATGGCCTACCTGCCTGTCAGCCTTCCATCTGTGCACAAACTTATCTCGTGCCCTCATTGGTCATGTGCGCGTTCGTGTGTGTTGGAGGAGGGGCTCTGTAAGGAAGTGGCAGATTTCTTCCGGTTGTGTATTTTCAAATTCTAGCGCACTCGAGCTGGTTTCTCCAAAATGACCTACCCCACCTTTAACATCACATTACATTGCATTTAGCTGACGCTTTTGTCCAAAGCGACTTACAATAAGTACATTCGACCAGGAAGACACAACCTTGAAGAAAACAGAATCATATAAGTATATCAGGTTTCATAGAGCCAAACATTTCAAGTGCTACTCAACTGGCTTTAGGTAAGCCAGTCCTTTATTAGTATAAAAGTGCTTCGTTAATAGTTCTAACGCTCGAAGTGGAGTCGAAAGAGATGAGTTTTCAGTCTGCGCCGGAAGGTGTGTAAGCTATCTGCCGTCCTGATGTCAATGGGGAGCTCATTCCACCATCTTGGAGCCAGGATAGCAAACCCCTTTAAGCTAAATAAATGGAAGGGAATCATAATATTTGGTTAAAATATATTCTTATTAATGTACTAAATCATTCGAGACTGATACAAGTTCAAAATGTCGCCACTCGACTTTTAAATCATACTTAATTGAAGCAAAAGCAAGATTGTGAGGACTACTGACAGATTTCCCATTTTTAAATGATATGTAATAATTGCAATATTTCTTTCTTTTAAGAGTTGTGTTACATTCGAGCTGGTTTCTCCAAAATGACCTCCCCCACCTTTAAATGGAATAATGGTTACTTTTCTACATAAACAAATTAATTTGCATTTCAATAAGCAATATTAACCATTATCAATATCTTAACTTTCAATACAGTCAAATAAACTAAATAATGTTGAAAAAAAACACTTCTAGCAAGAGGCCCTTAAAAAACGACATTTGTAATTATTTAATTATACAATATGAGTTGTCAGTTATTAATATGTCAGAAAGCTTTTCCCTCTCATTGTTCATATTTCTCATCTCATTGTTTTTATTGTTTTTCCCATCATCTGTTCTGTAATCCATTGGACTTCTCAGAATACTCTTTCACAAGTAAGTTTCATTTCTTCCTGTCTTCTCCCCTCACATTCCCATCTTCACTGCATTTATCTACTAGACTGTTCCCCCTAGAACATTCACTTTAATCATTAAAGAAAAGCAATTGTTTCCTGTTGTACTAATTTTCCAGACGACAGTCCGTTCCATTACTTTACCGCAGTCACAGGTTTGTTTAGTAATGAGATAGATAGTAGACCCTTTAGACTTCATTGAAACTCTTTCTTGCTCGTAGTGAGTTTTCTTTGTTGTGTCCCAGTAGTTCAGCCGATGTGTGTTTTTTCAGATGGTTATATCCTGGCTTCAGACACCACTACGAGGTTGTGGTAATTAACGTGGAATTAGCATATTTTCTGGTAATGTTGAAAGCAGGGCACATAAACGTCCCTCTTTGGAAACATCAGGTTTAAATATGCAGGCCCAGAGAGTCTTTAGGACTCCCATCTGAGCTCATGGTGTGCTTGGCACCGTACTGTCATTTGGCCGTTAGACTTGAATGTGTATTAAGAAAAACTCTTATTACTTCTGTTGAGCTGCAGCTTTCTTTAGACACATGCTTACTGCTGCATTTTACATTTTAGACAAAATAGTTATGCATTTTTAACACATTACCTTTGGCATTATGTTGGTTTCAGGAGATAATAGCGGGTTGTTGTTCGTGCTATGCCTCAGAAGAACGTAAGCTAGACTTAGAAGAGTTTTAATTGCTGTAGTCCAAGGGTACCAAAACAAAAAGCTCTGCAAAATAGTTTGCTTTGAGAAGTTCTGTTAATGCTTACAGGTATTATTTTCAGGGAGATATGATTACATCCCCCCTATCTTTAATATTAAGAAATAAAGGAATCCACTTCCTGTTCTGAGGCCAGTTCTTTCATGGAGAAAACTGGGTTATGGCTAGAAAGGATCCGTCTTGTGTAAATATGTCGTCACGTTCTCGTTGTAACTCTCGTTGTAATCGGAGCGGCTCGGAAACACATCTTGAGCAGTAACGCGCACATTAATGCAGCAGCAATATTAATAGAGAAACATCAGACATAATAGTAAAACACTGAAAGGGAACATTTTATTGCACCAGGAGCTATCTTGGGACTTTTACTGCGACAACGTTGACTTGCCTGTGAATAAAAAATAAACCATAGTGTTGGTGATCTACAGTGTTGTCATTCTTCTTTGAACAGCAAGACTCCTTATTTCAACAATCACACTCCCTGTCATTGACATCATTAATAGATAGTTTAGCTTCTCCCCATCATCTGCTGTGGCCCACTGATGTTAACGATCGTAACTGAAAGGCTGCCTGCCAAACGTAGACATTCAGCCACGTGACTCGCAAACTCTCGCGAGAGTTTTACACAAGACGGATCCTTTCTAGCCGTAACCAGAAAACTGAGCACGGAGGAACAAAACGAAGGACAGAAACGTTTAACAGAAACAAATACCTTTATTCAACGTTACATTCAGGAAGGACATAACAAAGCAGAAGACGAAGGACAAACACTGACAGAAAAAACAGAACTTAAATACATACAGAACTAATAACAAGGACAAGATAAGGAAGATGTATTTTATTACATTGATATAGACAGGCTCTGCTCTTCATTGTTGGTTATTCTATTGGTGTTATTGTACATAAATATAATGACAATGAAGATATCAGCTGTAAAATGTTGCCAAATAGTTACCATCTGAAGTGAAAATGGATCGTACTGGGTCCTACCCTCCTTTAGCCGAATTCAAACCAATTTCCAGAAGAGAAATACTGAAGTTAATGATATTAGCATAGGTTTTTATTGTACATGAACATGCATTATACAGTAGTGTCCGTAACAGGTGAACAGTTGGGTCAAAAAGTTACCACCTGAAGTGGAAATTGGTCGTACTGGGTCCTACCGGGGGCGGTGGTGGCGAAGTCGATCGGGACTCGGCTTGGCAACTGGAAGGTCACCAGTTCAAGTCCCGGCACAAGACCAAGTGCTACCGAGGTGTCCCTGAGCAAGGCACCGTTCCCCACACTGCTCCCCGGGCGCTGTTCAAAATGGCAGCCCACTGCTCCTAACACTAGGATGGGTCAAATGCAGAGAAGCAATTTCCCCACGGGGATTAATAAAGTATATCAAATCAAATCAAATCCTCCTTTAGCCGAATTCAAACCAATGTCCTGAAGAGTTAATGGTATTAGCATTGGTTTTTATTGTACATGAACATGCATTACAGTGTCCGTAACAGGTGAGCAGTTGTGTTGAAGATTGTACTGCTTACCTGCTCTTGCGGAGTTCAAAGTAATATCTCTGAATTTCCATGGAGTTACACAGGATGTGATGCATCACAGTGCATGTGAAGAGCACTTATCACCGATATTGAATATAAAAACTTCTCCTGTTGAGAAGATCCCAGCTCCACTCACCATGTCTCCACCATCTCTCAGTTTCCTCAGAGACCCCTCCTCATATTGCTGCCACCACTTTGGCCCTTAGTGAGTATGCCGGTGAGCAGTGTGTGTCTCTTCCCCTCGTCATGTATCTCTATCTGCTTGGTCTCACAGTTAGATGTTTATGGTGTTCCTCACACACACACACTGTCCGTAGATTTTAGCCCCCGAAAAAACGAGTTTGGCTTTTTCTAACAGTCTTGATTTAGATATGATTCTACTAACATGTGTCCAGACCATGAAGGTTGCCCTGCTAACAGCCGCACTATAGTGTTGTGTGTGACAATATTAACACTGTTTGTCAAGACTTCAATCACAGTCCTAACTAAAGACTTCTTCGATTGTGTTGCAATGAGTCAATTTGTTGTTAAGATGTGTTCTTGCTTTGTTGTATGACGCTAAACATTCAGTAGCGTGCATTTCAACTATGTAGCTTTATATTTTGATATTGTTTTTCTGTAGCATTATTGACCTCACCACACGTCAGCAAACAGTCATTTTTAGACGATTAAATGCAGATATTATACCAATAATATGTACGTTGTAACTTGTTAAAGTCTGCAGCGAAGCATCTCAGCTGTAGCTACATGAGCTAAGCTAACATATGCTAAGTATGTCGTGACCTGTAAACTTCGGAAGATGCAGACTTCAAAGTTAAAAACTCAGATTATAAAAACATTTTATAGTAAAAGTAGGCTCCATTATAAGACCTTAGGTTAGGGTTAACCCTCTGTACCATTAATGGCAACACCAAACTACTACATTTAAGCCTTTCATCTAAAGGTCACTAAACATCACAGATAAACACAACATTGGCATATATTTGCCATCTTGGATTGCGAGCTGGCAGAAGTGCAAACCAAGGATTGCATTGGAAATCTTCTATTCTCCTCATACATCATTTACTGTAATCCCCATTTCTAAGTACCATTGATATCGAGATCCAACTGGGAAATTAAAATCAAGTATTTAATCCAACTACATTTGTCATGGATACCATTTAAGCCGGACAAAACACAGCATTAGAATATATTTACGACTTACTGGCAATGCTTACAGTCACCATCTTGGACTGTGAGAGGCAAAATAGTGGTGCTAGCCTCAGTTATGTTCTGCTTTAAAACTGAATGTATTGGTCTTATTTGATGCATTGGTTAGGGTTAGGGTTAGGGTTAGGGTCTTCACAGATGAAAAATGGGGGTAATGTTGTTGATCGGATACCTCAACACTCCGAACAATATATAACAGGGGTGTCAAACTCAAGGCCCGGGGGCCAAATCCGGCCCGTGACTTCATTTTCTGTGGCCCCACAAGAGCTTGCAAAGAATATAATATGTTTATTATACGGTTACAGAAGCACGTTGCCCATAAACTACATCTCCCACAATGCATCTCAAATTAGACCTTTTTCTTAGAATTTGACTTTTTTTCAAAATTTTATTTTTCTTTCAAAATGTCACTTCCTTTGTTTGACTTTGACTTTTCCCATAATTTGGCTTTTCTTTTTAAATCATTTTGTGACATGCGCACTGAAGAGACTTGCAATTATTTGCCCTAGACTTCTGCTTTCAGACGTAGTTAATCATGTAGTTATTACCCTATCCGATAATAATCCAATGCAGAGGCACAAATGGAATATAATACATTATTTTAAATATTTATATATGTATTTTTATATAGTCTTAAAGTTACAACCGGCCCATTGAGTGCAACCATAATGCTAATGTGGCCCGCGAGGAAATTGAGTTTGACACCCCTGATATATAAGAACTCAATGGAAACACAGACAAACTGTTGATTGAAGTAAAAGATTGTATTGAGACAGAATGCTTGAAGTCAACCAATATGTGTCTGAAAAGACAGAGAGTCTGACAGCGTCTATACTCTATTCCACACAGTAACACTCGATATTTGCTCCATCAATAATCACATATCATCCTTCTTCAGCAGGCAACATTCTGATAGTATAAACCCAGACAGTCGTGACACAAAGGTAACATGATTAAATCAGCTATGCATGATTTCTACAGTACCACCCTGCAAAAGTGCGTTGGGTTTTATCATAGCAGTTCTTATCACATCCACTCAGTCACTGTAAACCTTTCCTGAGAACCGCTCCATGTTTCTTATCGTTTCTCGGCTCAGATCATCTGTCATTCATGGCGTTCAGTGCAGTTTTTAGGATGAATCCAGATGTGCGACACTGATTAGCCCCCGCTGACATCTGATCATTATTTCGGTCAAGTTATAGCTGATTACAGCTTTAAGAAACGAACCCATTTGACTGCTTATTGCTTTAATCCCTGAGGCAACATGGGAGGTAAACAAAGCTGATTTGTGTGTTTGGTCCAAACTCACCGGATTAACTGTTGTGTGATTAATGTTGTTCATATAAATGATGTCCTGTATGATAATTGTATGTCCTAACTTAACCTTTCTTTTAATCACATTCGGCGTTACATTTAACTAGGATTGTTCGTAGTGTGTTTTTTCTGCAAGTGCGTCACACACACGCTTCTAGATTGTCCTGATGTTTCATGTGTTCATTCTGTTGTGTTTCATATTTAGTTGGCATGTTGTGTATTGTCAAAGCTGCAGATTTTCCTCTGTTCTGACCCTGAACAAACTCAAATCTAATACATTAGAATAAAAAAAGAGGGAAAACTGTTGATTATGTGGATGCATGACGCCGTTCTGGATCCCCTGAATTAATATCTTAAAATCAGGGGTGGTTCTAGAGGGGGCCAGGGGGGGCCAGTGCCCCCTAACACTGACCTCTGACCCCCCTGTGGTCCCCTAACAATGTATATTCTCTGGTACTCGGTTTGCCAAAAACCGCAGGATTTTGTTGCTGTAATGTGAGATTGTGCAGACACCCTTATGTAAAGTAGAGATGTAACTGTTCATTGCCTTTATTTTTATATAAATATGGTGTGAGTGCAAACATTGCACTATAACTTAAGCTGAAGCTAACAATAATAACTATAAGATCTATCTGAAATAAATAAGTGTACTGAAACAAATACCAATACCTGGATTGCATTGTTTTCTTATGTGCAATTACTTCATACTGTCTAGTTCTCTTTTTCGTCCTGCATTTATTGTGCCCCCCTCAGAAAATAACTGGCCCCCCAGTCAAATTGGTCTAGAACCGCCACTGCTTAAAATCAACACCAATTTGTTTATTCATCCATTTATTAATATTCTACATGCTTCCAAAAACGTCCAGAACTGCTTCATGTATTCAGTTTTGTTTATATATATTTTAAAAAATGTGTTTATTGATTTATGTTTTTCTCTTGGTTATTTGTTTTTCGTCATTTTGTCTTTAACATTAATGTTCATTTGTTATTTATGTTGAAATTTTTTCATCAATTTTCACCAATGTTTTATGTGTTTTCCATATGCCCCACCCTCCTCCTCCTCCCTCTTTAATTTCCAAATGACCAATCATGTGCGTGCGCATCATGTGACTGTGTCATGTGGCTCTTGCATGGTGCTGATGATGTCGTCTCCGCTGGCCAACAGAAGGTAATTCATTTTGTTTAGTTTGAGATCACGACATCAGAAATGGTCATTCAGAAGACTTTAGACACATAGGAGACGCATTACTTTTAATCTTGCCATTTTTCATTCATCTTTTTCTGTTAATATATAGTAAATAATCATCATTCTTCATCTTAAGAATGTCTCTTGCAAACTATGATCATTTTGCCCATTCTTCATTGCTTTCATTTAGTAACAATGCCAGACTTTTCTCCTTGTAGTGCCTGATTACAAATGCATTATTTTTATGATGTAGAAAATACACACTAGGGCCATATTCTTCTGGTAGATTTATGTGACTATTAACTCATTGACCCTGTGTGTTATGCTTGCTGTTACCCCTGCTTTAACATGCATTAATAATATCATAATTACTATAAAACCATAATAAATGTTTCTATATAGTCAAGTCTATAGATAACACCAGGTGTAAATGGGGTCTTTCATTTCTCCAGAGCTAGCTGAGACACATTTGAATTAATTTATGACAACATGTCCTTGATTTAAAGTGAAATACATAATGTTATCGCCACCCATCTGTGAACTCTACCTGCATTAACCACATTGCAATTTGTTTGTAAATCTAACATTGCATTTGTCTTTTCTCACTTTGGTGTCTGAGAGGCTGAGATTGTTCAGGATTCACATTTCTCAATCAGCCAAAGTGCAAAGGAGAGAAAACGTTATATCCAAAAATGAAGAACAAGATCAACATATTATCCCCGATTCGTTAAAGAATCAGGTAGAGGGAGAATCTCAATTTAAATCCAGACAAACTCTAAATGTGTGATTCTCTGGTGTTCTAGTTTATTTAAACCTTGATTAGAAATGTAGGTAGAAATACGTTTTGAAAGCCCTTTGACTTTTCTTCCAGATAGCACTCGTTTCTACACATTAGACTTTCTGAACAAGCAGATCTTTTGTTCAATTTTTTCTTTAGCCATTACATTTTTGATCACATTTAAACATCACGAGAGCATCTTCACAAAGTGCCCCTGACTGCCTTGCAAGTTCATTTTCACCTTACACATCGAACTTCTCTTGTGTTTTCCAAAGATCATCTGTAGCTCGCAGTGTGTGATTGCATTACTGCAGCATGCACGTCCTGGTTGCATCCTCTTTCTTCTTCTAGAAGACAAGTCCACCCTGTCTGCATGTGTCTGTGTCTTGCATTTCTACATTGACAGTATGAACATAATCGTTATTTTTCCAAGTTGTATAGTGTTGAGTTAAGATTGGGTGTAAAAAATTGATTCAAGTCAGAATTCGGAGGACATTTTTTAGCATTAATCCTTACTGTATTTCAGACAAACAATTGATGTCAAACACTCCAAAACTAAAAGAGGATATCTGTATCCAACCGCATGTATTCTATGACTCTTTTCAATTCCCTTTATGTCTCAATGTACGCTTTAAAGAGTGAGGGTGCCATATACTGTAAGTTGGCATTGAATGTGTTTCAGGGTGAGATGCTCCAGTCTGCATGGAGAAGCTTGTCGTTCTAACCCCTTCTCTCTCAGTTTTAGCCTCAGAGAAAATGAGCTAACCCAGAATGATGCCTGTGAATAACCCCGCTGAATGTCCCGATGTTTAACCGGCCTCGTGTTACGCTGCTGTCACTAACCAACTGTCTGATTTACTTCCAGCATCTGTCATGTTCAGTCCTGTGTAGACGAATGCAGCTCAGATGATAACTCACAGTGCCTTCATGCATATTCATTTAATTACCACTAACACTGAGATTGTCCATTTGAAATGTCTGTCAATGTTACACATGTTAAAGGCTGCCCATTGTCTTTGATAATGTAGAATATAATATGTTCTTCCCACCTGCTATTATGAGAGAGTGTTAGCACAGGGCAAAGGCTGTACTATCATGAGGTAGACAATTTAAATACATCATCCTCAAGGCTAACTGTGTGCAACCAAATATGTACATAATTAATGAGTCTGGGTTGTCAGTCTCCTCCCTTACACATTGGAATGAGAGAAAACGCCTCAACCCATGCATACTAAACACCTCCACCTGCCCTCCCTCAACACTATGTATACATTATGAGAAGTAATAGAGTAACACGTCCAATCAAGGTCTACAGGCTCATTATCCAGCGACCCAGCCGCCATAACTCAGGAGGCAGAGCAGATAATGAGGCTTCAAGGAGAGAGGCAACTCCGCGCAGCCCTTAAAGGGAAACACACCCACAATATGTATTTCATATTTGAAAACACGCTTTGTTGGTTTCTGCAATAAAGTGGTAAAGGGAAGATTGATTTTTTAGTCCGAATTTAGGAAGTTAGCTTCTCCCTGGTTCCCTTTGTGGGGAATTTTCCATTTGATTTTGCATTATGCTTTTAAGTTTTATGATACTTAGCAGGATAATCACTACATATTACACCACTTGTTGATAGGCTATAAGCTATTCACGTCACCACCGCTAAGCTAAAGGTGGCTAATGTTGGGCTATAAAGGAACAACAGCACGGTCACATGACTTCACGTCACCACCGCTAAGCTAAAGGCGGCTAATGTTGGGCTATAAAGGAACTACAGCACGATCACATGATTTCACGTCACCACCGCTAAGCTAAAGGCGGCTAATGTTGGGCTATAAAGGAACTACAGCACGGTCACATGACTTCACTTCACCACCGCTAAGCTAAAGGAGGCTAATGTTGGGCTATAAAGGAACTACAGCACGGTCACATGACTTCACGTCACCACCGCTAAGCTAAAGGAGGCTAATGTTAGGCTATAAAGGAACTACAGCACGATCACATGATTTCATGTCACCACCGCTAAGCTAAAGGAGGCTAATGTTGGGCTATAAAGGAACTACAGCACGATCACATGATTTCATGTCACCACCGCTAAGCTAAAGGAGGCTAATGTTGGGCTATAAAGGAACTGCAGCACGGTCACATGATTTCACGTCACCACTGCTAAGCTAAAGGCGGCTAATGTTGGGCTATAAAGGAACTACAGCACGATCACATGATTTCATGTCACCACCGCTAAGCTAAAGGAGGCTAATGTTGGGCTATAAAGGAACTGCAGCACGGTCACATGATTTCACGTCACCACTGCTAAGCTAAAGGCGGCTAATGTTGGGCTATAAAGGAACTACAGCACGGTCACATGACTTCACGTCACCACCGCTAAGCTAAAGGCGGCTAATGTTGGGCTATAAAGGAACTACAGCACGATCACATGATTTCATGTCACCACCGCTAAGCTAAAGGAGGCTAATGTTGGGCTATAAAGGAACTGCAGCACGGTCACATGATTTCACGTCACCACTGCTAAGCTAAAGGCGGCTAATGTTGGGCTATAAAGGAACTACAGCACGGTCACATGACTTCACGTCACCACCGCTAAGCTAAAGGCGGCTAATGTTGGGCGTGATGAAGTGCAGTCGTCTCAATTAGACAGTTGTTCGCAACCGCGTTTTTTTTAATTCACCAGTGGGGTATTTACTGATGTATTTTATGTCGCAGAACAAAATCTCTTCAACTTGTGTTAACCACATACCTTATTTCAGGCTTCTAACCTACAGTAAAACACGTCCAAAAAAAACATTGACTTCCAAACAAGGAAACAAGAAGGGCTAAAATGCCGACTCATTTCTCGGTTGTACAACTCATTCCTGCACCACTATATTCCCCCAAACTCAGCAACACAGTTTCCTTTAATAAATGCTAATATAAGCGGTTTTTTTGACAGGGTAGGTTTAAGAGAACTTTACAATAGTAGTAGGAGTAGAAGCAGAGTAGTTTACTTGCATTTAGAGGCTAATGTTGATGCAACAACCCTATGTATGTCAACTAATTGCTCTCTTTCTCCTGTGCAGGGGAACCTAGTGCACCTAAACTGGAGGTGAAGGTCCTGGAGAGGGGCAACTCTCTGAAGGTGAACTGGATCAAGCAGGACGACGGCGGATCCCCCATTAAACATTACCTGGTCCGATACAAGGCTGTGAGTACAGAGCTTTTTTTAAATATTGCAGTGGTTTCATAATAAATGTTAATAACCAATGCTTGGAAATACTCACCAAACTACAAGCAGGAATACGATGTAGCCCTCTGCCGTAAAAAGTGCCGTTGTTTTTATTATTGTATATTACTATTTTTATTCCGGTGAAAAACTGGGTTTCATGACAGTGCGTAATTGTATAGATAAAACATAAAATATATATTTTTACAAAACTAAGAAGTTAAAGTAAGAGTAGGCGATTAAAAGATTTAAAAATAATAGGATTTACAATTATTTTTGTTAACATAACATATTAAAGGGAAAATGAAAATATCTAAATAAATAATAGAAATTGTATAGAAAATGTACATGCACATTGTACAAAATATAACATCAACAAAATATGTAGAGATATGTATAATACAACATATGCAATGGTTAGTTTAGTTTGAATGAATATATTAAAGCTGATTCGAAAGGTTTAACTTTTCATTCATGAAAATTCTCATGTACAATTCAAAAGGTTGCTAAAAGAAATCTCAGTATTATAACGTATAATTGAACTGTGCCTGGCTATGTATGTATTATTGTTTGGCCTTATGATGGCTAACATTGGATGCCCATTTTAGTTTTCACTTCATATAGCACTGTAAATTGCATGAAATTATGAGCCGTTTTGTTTTATGTGTGTTTGACAGTGTCAGTGAGGACCCCAGGAAGGATAGCCAATGCTACACATTAAAAGACATAAAATAGTGCAATAAATACAAATAAAATCAATAGAAATAGTGCAAGTAGAGTCTATGTACAAGTAATTGGAATATGATATATTAGATAAATAATGTGTAAGTTGCAAACAGATGAATGTTATGGATGTTCTTTCAAAAGTTCAGGTGTTTAACAGTTGAGTGCACAGTGTTGATTTGTGTCCTGCGTATATTCTCTTATCTTTCAGAAGCACGTGTCTGAGTGGAAGCCAGAGATCCGAATGCCTCACAACAGCGAGTACGCGACGCTGAGCGGCCTGGACTGGAACACGGAGTACGAGGTGTACGTGGTGGCCGAGAACCAGCAGGGAAAATCAGAGCCGGGTGTCGTCTCCTTCAGAACCGCCAGCGACCCCACCACCATCCCAGGTACGAATCCCATCATCTCATCATCTCCCCAGCATCCACACACAGCCAGCGTGCGGCGAGGCCTCCCCGTGACCACAATACTGAAACTAACAACAATTTAAAATAAGCAAAATAAATCTAGGAAAGGATCTAAAAGTTGACAAAAGATAACCCTCTTGGTAGAAGTAGGATTGAAATAAGACACAATTTGTGACCACAATACTGATATTTACAAAATGTATAAATATAATAAAGTAATTAATTTTAATATAAAGAAATTCAAATAAAAACATGAAAGGTAAATTAAAAAAAATATGATCAAATAAAGAAGAAGGCAAGGCAAGTTTATTTATATAGCACTTTTCAACACAAGGCAATTCAAAGTGCTTTACAAAAAATGAAAGACATTAAGAAAATGGCATTTAAAATCAGTCATTAAAAAGAAAAAGTAATAAAATAAACAAAGGGGTATATTGCTAATTAAAAGCTTACTTAAAATAATATTTTGCCCATAATATTTGTATTTGTTGGGTGTAAGTGTAGTGGATACAATCCACATCCCAAATGTTATGTAAGGGGACTTTTAGAATATTAACTTTTTGAATAAGCAATTTAAAACATTATGCTCACCTTTTGCAGAGCAGAGATGTTTTTATTCCTCCTCAATAACTCTCTGCAGCTACAGATAAAACTCAGCATCACGTTGCTCTTCCTCTGTGAAGCTGCTGTTGCTGCTGAGCTCCAGTGAGTGTGAAGAGGAGCAGATATCAGTCGGAGCATTTTGTCTAGTTAATACCAACAACTTGTCCTCAGGTGGTCACGGTCGGCCTCTGCTCTCTGGCTGTGTGAGCTGATAATTTTAACTCGGGCTGCTTCCCCATTCACTAAACCTGAGCTACAAAACTACTACATCATACAAATGTTTTCTACTACTACTTCTCCCTCATGTAACTATAATTGTATCTTTTATGATACTTACACATTTTGTTCAGCAGCATAATCTCCACATATTAACACCACTCTATTATTTTAGAAGTAAAATGCTAACGTTAGGCTACAAAAGGAACTACAGCACGGTCACATGACTTCACGTCACCACCGCTAAGCTAAAGGCGGCTAATGTTGGGCTATAAAGGAACTACAGCACGGTCACATGATTTCACGTCACCACGGCTACGCTAAAGTCAGCTAACGTTAAGCGTGATGACATTTAGTCGTCTCATTTAGACACTTGTTAGCAACCAGTCCTCATTTAAAAACATGTTCAACATTTGAACCATTGATATCCAGACTAGAGAACAGGAAGTGGATTTCCTTCAAATATATAACTTATTATATTACAAAAAATACCATTTTATTCAAACAAAATGGCCTCCTTCCTCCCTTTTTTCCACAAACCTCTCATCTTGTTATTCTTTCTATCTCAATATCCCTCGCTCCCTGTCAGGTTTAGTGGGTCTCACACTCCTATTGTCATGCAGTGTGGGGCTTTGTTAATGTTGGGATGCAGCCCTAATAGTGTTTGCATGGAGCCTCTTCCAGCTGGATTAATCTGTGTGTTATTGGAGACCCTGAAATGCAATGGCTGCCAGTGCATGGCGAATAAAGAAAAGCAGAGATTTTCTTTTTTCATGCGCTTGCTGGGCATCAGCCATGTATCAGTGGGAGGTTTGGATCATGTGGGCTTCATCCAAGTCAGTCCCCCTTTAATTCCCCTAATTTCTTTCATTTCATGTTGTTGTTTTGGATGTGTGGTTTTGCTTTCAAGTTGCTGTTGAGTTCCCCTCCCTTTGAGACATGTGGGGAATTGCTGAGGTTTATTTTTAGCTACAACATCTGCATTTAATTCCCCTTCTTGGTACAGTTTCTCATTTTCTAAATACATGTATTGGCTCCCTGCTCTAAATTTGGACGCAAATTGCGAAAGCAGGTTTCAATCAGTTTGAATTTGTTTTCTTTTTCCACGGCCGCCACACACACACACACACACACACACACACACATAAACCAAAGGGAAAACATTTAAAAGTGAAGGATGTTATTGTAAATCGCTTTGGATACAAGTGCAGCTAAATGAAATGTAAGGTGTCTCTCAAATGATTAGATTAGATTATTTTCGTATAGATTAAATAAACTTTATTAAACACAAATTGGGAAATTGCACATTTAAACAAGGCATTGCACATAAGTTAAAAATAAATTAAAATGTAAATATATATATATATAAACAGTAGACGGATAGAGGATATATTGCATATATAGTAATATTGTTTTAGATTGGTTTAAATATATTTGATTGATCCCCAATCAGGAAAGAGTTGGAGGTAAAGCATGGAGGTAAAGTTTGAGTGCAATGTGTACAATTTATTTATAAAAATGTAAGTATGAGCTTTGATTTTACATTGTAATGTGGGAAATACTCTCACGTCCTTAAAGTAATTGTTGTTTTAATGGAAATGTGTGCAACATTTCGTCCTTATGTCAGTAGTAGTCAGGTTTAAAATAAGACAAAACATTTCTGTAGTTTGGCGGAAAAATTGTCTTTTGATTCTGGCGTTTCTAAAAAGCCTCGATAACATTGGGCTTGTGTAATTCCTGCAGCGTGTCACAGCAGGTGAGAGGCTGCCCAGCTGTGGAGAGATAATTCATAATTCATCATAATTTTCGAGCAAAAAAGTGTCAACACGGACACAGACAATCCAAATCCCCCAAACTAAGGCTGACATTGGAGTAAATTAAACAGATATTAACATTCGCAGTTTTTATAACATCCATTCATCTACTCATCCATTCATAACCAGCTTCTGTCTTGACGCGTGTTTGCATGACCAGTGATGTAATCTGAAGAAATGCACGCTCCTTTCCACCTGCATTCTCAACACAATTCATTTTATTTACAAATCTTATCATAAGACGATGATATGTGAAGTGCAGTAGTGCTATCTTCCTAAACCTGTAATATTTTATACAAATCTTTTAGAAGATGACTTGTTTTCCCTGCAGTGTCTTCAGCAGCATCTATTCAGCACTAATTACGACAGCAAATATGCTTTGAAGGAATCTTAAATGCTGCCAGATTACAGTCCGACTAGCTAATGAGGAAACCTTTCAAATGGGTCTTTCTGCAGAGTTTCTAAATGCAAACGAGAACATAAAAAACGCAGCTAATTAAGCATCATAAAGCTGTTATTTAGTCAGTAATAAACAGGTCAGTATTCCCTGCTCCTATTCTACAAAACAATTAATCAAGGATTTTTGTCACACAGTCTTTCACACAGCAAGTCAGTGTTAAAGCTATGGGGAGTATCACTGGTTGGATATTGAAATGATCACATACTGTATCTATCAGTAAAACGTAGCAGCCTTTGGCAAACACTTCCAGAGACACAGATAAAATAACATTAATCTAGAGGCCATACTGCGTTTATGCATGTGTGTGCATTACCATTACACCACTGGCCTTTACAAATGCACGTCAATAGAGTACTGCAGGGATTATTGTAGAGTAAGTTAGCATCTCCCTGGTGCCCTTGACAAAAATCCAATGGTATTTTCCTATAGGATTTGCAGAAAACAAGCTCTTTGCAAAGAAAAGTTATTGACGCTAGTAATAGCTGAAGTGTAAATGCAATTTGCAGAAGTAAAAAGCTAATGTTGGGCTATAAAGGAACTACAGCCCATGACTTCACCGCCGCTAAGCTAAAGGCGGCTAATGTTCGTGAGATGACGTTTAGTAGTCTCATTTAGACACTTGATACAATACAATACGATAATGCTTTGAAATACGATACAATACTTCCTGATAGAATAAGATATACAATACATTAACGAAGAATATATACGATACAATACTTTCTGATACAATACGTTACAATACATTACCTTACAATAAGATACACTATGATACAATACGTTACAATATGTTAAAATACATTACAATACGTTACAATACATTACCTTACAATATGATACAATAAGATACACTATGATACAATACGTTACAATATGTTACAATATGTTAAAATACATTACAATACGTTACAATACGTTACAATACATTACCTTACAATATGATACAATAAGATACACTATGATACAATACGTTACAATATGTTACAATACGTTACAATACATTACAATATGATATAATATGTTACAATATGTTACAATACGTTACAATACGCTACAATATGTTACAATACGTTACAATTAGGGCCGGGACTTTAACGCGTTAATTAAGATTAATTAATTACACAAAAATTAACGCGTTAAAAAAATTAACGCATTTTAATCGCACTTATTTTTGCACCGCGGAACGTTTCTCACTGGATGAGTTTCAGGCGTACCGATTATACTGGAGCACCAACTAACGTTCATGACTTCAGACAACAACAAACCACAGTGAACAACAGTGGGAAATGTTGTTTTAAAAAACGGACGGATGGAAGCGTCGATAAGAGCACGGTTGTGTACAAATTATGCAAAAAGGAATTCGCATATCACCGCAGCACATCAAGCCTCAAGTATCACCTCAATGCAAAACATATAGCAGCTAGCGTGGACGTTAGCCTCTTTTATCGCGTTCACACCAAAAAGAGCCGGAACTAAAATTAGTTCACGAGAACCTTTTTACCCCCACGAAAGTCCCTGCTAGAGAGCAGAGAGCTGCTAGAGAGCAGGGACTTTCGTACGGCTCTCTTGTGAGAAAAGAGCTATATGTCTGATTGGCTGGAAGGATTGCAAACCACGCCCCGTAAAACTCCCAAAAAGTTTGGTGAAGCCGCCATTTTATTATCCTCGCATTAGCATTATTAGCATTAGCATTAGCCCAGCGCAGAAACGCAGAGAGACTAACTTATGGCAACACAAAATAAAACATGGGAGCGGTGGAGATGAGGAGGTGTCGGCGTTCTGGCGATTTACTCGGAAGGCTGCTGGGAATCCCAGCAGCTTCTACTGAAGCCAGTCCCCAACTCCGGGGACTTCCGGCCGGGGACTTTGGGCGGCAGTATACGCCGTGA